TGTAGCTTTCTCCAATTCAGAAAACATTAATTTTGTTTTAATATGTGTACATAATGAGAATCAATGCCCCTGGGTAGGGCCAATTTTGACACCAGGGGAAAAATTTGAACAACTTTGGTAGAGGACCTATAGATGATATTATATAGGAAACATCAAAGCTCTATGCCTTGTACCTTCAGACAAAAAGATTTTTTAAATTTTTACTATATGTACATAGTGAAAATCAATGACCCCCGGGGCCGGGCCAATTTTGACCCCAGGGCTATAATTTGAACAATCTTGGTAGAGGTTCACTTCGCAAAGTCTCATGCCAAATATTTAACCTCTAGCCTTTGTTAATTCAGAGAAGAAGATTTTTCAAGTTTTTACTAAATACATATAAGAAAAACTATCGCCTCTGGGGCAGGGCAATTCTAACACTAGGGGCATAATTAAAACAACTTTAGTAGAGGACCCATAGATGATATTATATACCAAATATCAAAACTTTAAGCCTTGTAGTCCTTCAGACAAGAAGATTTTTTAATTTTTTACTATATGTACATAATGAAAATCAATGACCCCTGGGGGTGGGGCCAATTTTGACCCCAGGGCTATAATTTGTACAATCTTGCTAGAGGTTCACTACACAATGTTTCATGCAAAATATCTAACCTCTAGCCTTTGTCAATTTAGAGAAGAAGATTTTTTAACTTTTTACTAAATACATATAAGGAAAACCTATGACCCCCAAGGCAGGGCTAATTTTGACACTAGAGGCAAAGTTTGAACAACTTTGGTAGAGTACCTATAGATGATATCATGTAACAAATATTAAAGCCTAAGCCTTGCACCTTCAGACAATAAGATTTTTTGTTTTTTTACTATATGTACATAGTGAAAATCAATGACCCCCCGGGGCAGGGCCAATTTTGACCCCAGGCCTATAATTTGAACAATCTTGCTAGACGTTCACTACACAATGTTTCATGCAAAATATCTAACCTCTAGCATTTGTCAATTGCGAGAAATTTTTTTTAAAACTTTTTACTATATACATGTAAGGAAAACCTATGACCCCCGGAACGGGGCTGATTTTGACACTAGAGGCAAAATTTGAACAACTTTGGTAGAGTACCTAAAGATGACATCACATACCAAATAAGAAACCTTTAAGCCTTGTACCTTCAGACAAGAAGTTATTTTAAGTTTTTACTATATGTACATAAAGTGAAAATCAATGAACCCCGGGGCGGGGCCAATTTTGACCCCAGGGCTATAATTTGAACAATCTTGGTAGAGGTCTACCAGACAATGCCTTATGCAAAATATCTAAGCTCTAGGCCTTTTGGGTCTTTACAAGAAGTTCTTTTAAAATTTATACTTCTATAATTCCTTTGGTTGCCTTGGCAACCAAATTTTTTAATGGAATGAAATTCTTTGAACAAATTTGGAAGCCCTTCACCCAAGGATCAATCTTGCCAAGTTTGTTTGAAATTGGACTAGTGGTTTTTCACAAGAAGATTTTTTTAAGTTCACTATATAATCTATAGAACACACGTTCAAACACACACACAAACACACACAGGTGAATCGCTATATGCCACTGCATCCCAGATGCTGCTGTGGCATGAGAACAAAACATGGATGAATTTATAAAATCTTAGCCATGTCAGACATTATTATATATCAGGAATTACACAAAGAGTTGCAACAAACTCTAATTTCCATTGAAGTATTGTGTTTGTTCGGTTTGGTTTAACAGCATACCAACAGAATTTAAGTCATGTGTAACATATATCACAATAAACAAGAATTTGTAACAGAGTTACCAACGTCCCCTGCCTCGGGGAAGTTTTATATGAAGCATGAAATTGTGCTATTTCAAAAGATTGAGGTATGGATCCAAGGACTTTCAGTCCAAAATTATGATCAATGCTAGATCTGCAAATGCAACAATAAATTTATTAAAGAAATAAAATTAATGTTAAGCTTTGACCTCTAAGTGTAACCTTGACCTGGAGGTAAGGGCTCCAGGTGTTGTGCATGACATATCGTCTTATCATTGTAAATATTTGTACCAAGTACTTTCAAAATCCCTTGAACTATGAAGAAGTTATAGATGGGACACAAAATATACCCTCTAACAGACTATGTTAATCTTTGACCTCTTAGTGTGACCTTGGAGGTAGGGACCCATGTTTTGGGCCTGACTTATCAACTTATTATTGTGATTATTTTATGCAAAGTATTTTCAAAATCCCTTGATCTATGAAAAAGTTATGGACTGGACACAAAGTATACCCTATAACAGACTTTGTAAATGTTTGACCTCTACAGGTGACCTTGACCTCGGAGGTAGGGACACTGGTGTTGCACATGACATATCATCTTATCATTGTGACTATTTGTGCCAAGTATTTTCAAAATCCCTTGATCTATGAAGAAGTTATGGACGGGACACAAAATATACCATATAACAGACTCTGTTAACTTTTGACCTCTAGGTTTGACCTTGACCTTGGAGGTAGGGGGGCAGGTGTTGTACCTGACATATTATCTTATTATTGTGACTTTTTGTGCCATGTTATTTCAAAATCCCTTGAACTATGAAGAAGTTCTAGATAGGGCACAATACATACCCTTTAACAGACTATGTTAATTTTTGACCATCAAATGTGACCTTGACTTTGGAAGTAGGGATGCAGGTGTTGAGCATGGCACATAGTCTTATTATAGTGACTATTTGTGCCAAGTATTTTCAAAATCCTTTGATATATGAAAAAGTTATGGACCGGGCACAAAATATACCTTATAACAGACTATGTTAATCTTTGACCTCCAAGTGTGACCTTGACACATCATCTCATTATTGTGAACAATTGTGGCCAGTATTTACAAAATCCCTTCAAAGGTAAGAAAATTATAGACCAGACACGACATATACCCTCAAATAGACAATGTTGACCTTAAATGAGCAAGTGCGACCTTGACCCTGGTGGTAGGGGTCTAGTTGTTGCGCATGACACATCGTCTTATTATAACAAACATTTGTGCCTAGTAATTTCAAATTCTTTTCATAAATGACAAAGTTATGGACATGAAATATACACTGTGACAGACTATGTTAATCTTTGACCTCCACACGTGACCTTTACCTTGGAGGTAGGTGACAAGTTGTTGTTCATGACACATCTTCTCATTATTGTGAGCAATTATTGCAAGTATTTACAAAATCCCTTCAAAGATAAAAAAGTTATGGACCGGACACGACAAATACCCTCAAATAGACAATGTTGACCTTGAATGAGCAAGTGCGACCTTGACCCTGGTGGTAGGGGTCTGGTTGTTGCCCATGACACATCTTTTTATTATAACAAACATTTGTGCCAAGTTATTTCAGATTCCTTCAATAAATGACAAAGTTATGTACCAGACACAAAAGTGTAACGGACAGACGGACGGACGGACGGACGGAGCCTATTTCTATATCCCCCTTTTTTCTTCGAAATGGCGGGGGACAATAAATTACAGCTGAATAGATGACCCTAAATGAAACATCTTAACATCAAAAAGTGACCCTTTACATTTTCTAAACACATGTACTTAAACCGAGTATTAAAATTATGAGTTTGGTATTTAAGTCATTGTCCAGATTTTGGTCTGCTGCAGTTTGCCACAAGGTTGTTTACAATAAACAGACGTAACACTTGTTTTACAGAATTTATTGATTTGTACTTATTGTAACAAGCATAAATACATTTATTACATGCTTTTCGGTGGTTTATAGAAATATATCAGTGATATAAAAATGGTAATTTCACTGTTTGAAACAGTGAAATTACCACTTTGATAATTTCACTGTTTTGAATTTAAGCCCCTTACGTTATTTCAGTGAAATACCAGCGTGCACAGTACTGGGAACCAACTTAATGATGTGACGTCGTAAATGACGTCACGTTATATTATCATTTGGCGCGCTTTTCATTCAGTATTAGGTTAAATGTCTTTTTAAAACGTTTCTTTGCATATAATAAAAAGAAAATTTGTTTAGTTTAGTGTAAGATTGAAATATATTTCACCTTGTGAACACCAAAAGTTCATATTTCACTCGTGGCTGCGCCACTCGTGAAATATACCTTTTGGTGCTCACTCGGTGAAATATATTCCGATCTTACACTGAACTAAACAAATATCCTCTATTTATCACATAAACCGCAGCGCAGGAGTGTAATAAAGCCATTTAATAAAAATGATATTACACTAGTGTAATAACACTTTGACGCGACGTCATCTGCGCTATATATAAACATAGCGTTAAAGCGCACTAATGTTAGCCTTACACTACATGTATAGGCGCATCATTGAAAAATACTCATTTTAACAGTTTACTGTTCTTATTTTGTATATGTGATAAATAGAATATTATATTCGTGTAGATTCAATACTAAATTTATTGAACTCATTGAATAAAACAATATTATGCTCGCCAGAAGCTCGCATAATATGATTTTATTCATCTCGTTCAATAAATTTAGTATTAAACTACACTCATTCAATATCCTCTATGTATATAATTATAATGTTTATTTAAACATACATTTAAGAACATATTAAGTAATTTACTTTTATACTACAAATGAATGATTAACAATAATTTTCATAAATAATTATCACATCAAGTTTATATCACCTCAAACTTAAAAATAGAATGAATATTGCATCTTGATTTAAGTTTTCACTGACAATGACACACTCATATAAAATGTAAACATACAAATCATAAAGTTTACTGTTAATAATAAATTTAAATATATACAATGAAGTACTGTTTTCATTAACTAAATATAAAAATAAATTTCAAATTAATTTTTAAAAGTCAACGTCATGTTAATATTTTTAGTGTAAACTTTCCACCGTGAGATTTGTACTGCTGTTTTAATTTTGACTCCATATCCTTTCAATAACACTACTAGAGATTTATTAATTTAAAATGGAGGATGTGAAGTAAAATTAACGAATCAGCAATAAATATTCATTAACAAAAAAAAACTTTCAAAAAAAAATATCTCTAAATATTTAACAAATAACAAACTTACAAATTGAAATTTTTAAAAAAAGATAAAATTTGGAAAACTAGAATAGGTAACCACTTGAATCCAACATTTGACAATGTTTAGCTACAAGGAAATTACTAAAATCTCCTTATGTTTACACAATTTTGTGAAAATTTATACCTTTAAGCAATTGTGTATACAAAGTTTTGAAAGTTTTTACACCTAAACATGACAGTAATATGAACAGTCAGAATAATTTTCTCAAAGCAACTCACTCATCACACTACATACAGTAACTTGACAGTAAATGTACACTTTTACCACTCATAACAAATATTACATACAAGTATCAAATTATAAAATATTATTTGTTATCTGCATGAGATCATATTAAACATAATATTTTATTTTAATATAATAATGATTATTTTCAGCAATCAGGAAACCATGATTTCAAGCAATATAAAAATGAGCACCATCTTAAACAAACATTTTATTCTAGTAAAATTCATACAACAAAACATATTGTTGGTCCCTTTCACTTTTGCACATATATGCAATAATCTTAAAGTAATTAAGGTACAAATCCCAGTATTGTTACCTTGCTCTCCCTGGACTTGTTGAAAAATGTGACATTCCATATTGGTAAAAAAAAAGGAGAAAAAATAAACAAAAGTTACAAAAAAAAATCACTTGAAAAAATTAAAGCTTTCTTTTAATTAAAACTAAAGTTCTCAGAACAACTTGTCATACAAGTAATTCTTGGTCATTCAAAAACAGGTTTTTCTTTCACACCAATATAAGTTTTTTTCTTTTCAAAAATAAGTAAATTGTTCTGTCTTTTTGAAGAGAAACATTCTGAATACATTAATTTTGTTGATATTTTGGAGTTCTTCAGAAAATTATCATTTTGTGATTCTGATATTGGCTACATATTAAAATGAATATGGCAATTTTGAAAGAAAACTAGAACAACAAGAGGGCCATGATGGCCCTAAGGTCGCTCACCTGTATGTAGGCCCCCGGAGCGGGGCCAGTTTAAACCCCAGGGCTTTTATTTGAACAAACTTGGAAGACACCTATAAGAAGACGTTTCATGATGTACACACCTATAATGAAAAACAATGATCTGCCCTCCCCTACCCCCGGCAGGGCCAATTTTAACCAAGGGCTTTTATTTGAACAAACTTGGTAGACACCCATAAGAAGATGTTTCATGCTAAACATCTAAGCTCTAGCTCATTGTGTTTTTTTAAAGAAGATTTTTTAAGTTTTTACTATACACATATAGTTAAAAACAATGACACCCCTTGGGCGGGGCAAGTTTTGACCCCAGGGCTTTTATTTGAACAAACTTTGTAGACACTTACTAGAACATGTTTCATGCTTAATATCTAAACTCTAGCTATTTGGGTTTTTTCAAAGATGTTTTTTAAGTTTTTCCTATACACATATAAGGAAAATCAATGACCCCCAGGGCAGGGCTAACTTTGACCCCAGGGCTTTTATTTGAACAAACTTTGTAGACACTCACTAGAAGATGTTTCATGCTTAATATCTTAACTCTAGCTATTTAGGTTTTTTCAAAGAATACTTTTTAAGTTTTTGATATACACATATATAAGGAAAATCAATGACCCCCGGGGCAGGGCCAATTTTGACCCCAGGACTCTTATTTGAACAAACTTGGTAGACACCCATTAGAACATGTTTCATGCTAAATATCTTAGCTCTAGCTCTTTGAGTTCTTTAAAAGAAGATTTTTTAAGTTTTTACTATAAACATGTACATATAGGGAAAATCAATGACCCCCTGGGGCGGGGCCAATTTTGACCCCAAGGCTTTTATTTGAACAAACCTGGTAGAAACCCATTAGAACATGTTTCATGCTAAATATCTTAGCTCTAGCTCTTTGAGTTCTTTAAAAGAAAATTTTTTTAAGTTTTTACTATATACATATAGGGAAAATCAATGACCCCCTGGGGCGGGGCCAATTTTGACCCCAAGGCTTTTATTTGAACAAACTTGGTAGACACCCATTAGAACATGTTTCATGCTAAATATCTTAGCTCTAGCTCTTTGAGTTCTTTAAAAGAAGATTTTTTAAGTTTTTACTATATACATATAGGGAAAATCAATGACCCCCTGGGGCGGAGCCAATTTTGACCCCAGGGCTTTTATTTGAACAAACTTGGTAGACACCCATTAGAACATGTTTCATGCATAATATCTTAGCTCTAGCACTTTTGGTTCTTTAAAAGAAGATTTTTTAAATTTTTACTATATACATATAGGGAAAATCAATGACCCCCTGGGGCGGGGCCAATTTTGACCCCAGGGCTTTTATTTGAACAAACTTGGTAGACAACCATTAGAACATGCTTCATGCTAAATATCTTAGCTCTAGCTCCATGAGTTCTTTAAAAGAAGATTTTTAAATTTTTACTATATGCATACAGGGAAAATCAAAGACCCCCTGGGGCGAGGCCAATTTTGACCCCAGGGCTTTTATTTGAACAAACTTGGTAGACACTCATTAGAAGATGTTTCATGCTAAATATCTTAGCTGTAGCTCTTTGGGTTCTTTAAAAAAAGATTTTTTAAGTTTTTACTATATGCATATAGGGAAAATCAATGACACCCTGGGGCGGGGCCAATTTTGACCCCAGGGCTTTTATTTGAACAATCTTGGTAGACACTCACTAGAAGATGTTTCATGCCAAATATCTAAGCTCTAGCTCTTCGGGTTCTTTAAAAGGAGATTTTTTAAGTTTTTACTATATGCATATAGGGAAAATCAATGACCCCCTGGGGCGGGGCCAATTTTGACCCCAGGGCTTTTATTTGAACAAACTTGGTAAACACCCATTAGAACATGTTTCATGCTAAATATCTTAGCTCTAGCTCTTTGAGCTCTTTAAAAGAAGATTTTTTAAGTTTTTACTATATACATATAGGGAAAATCAATGACCCCCTGGGGCGGGGCCAATTTTGACCCCAGGGCTTTTATTTGAACAATCTTGGTAGACACTCACTAGAAGATGTTTCATGCTAAATATCTTAGCTCTAGCTCTTTGAGTTCTTTAAAAGAAGATTTTTTAAGTTTTTACTATAAACATGTACATATAGGGAAAATCAATGACCCCCTGGGGCGGGGCCAATTTTGACCCCAAGGCTTTTATTTGAACAAACCTGGTAGAAACTCATTAGAACATGTTTCATGCTAAACATCTTAGCTCTAGCTCTTTGAGTTCTTTAAAAGAAGATTTTTTAAGTTTTTACTATATACATATAGGGAAAATCAATGACCCCCCCCCCCCGGGCGGAGCCAATTTTGACCCCAGGGCTTTTATTTGAACAAACTTGGTAGACACCCATTAGAACATGTTTCATGCTAAATATCTTAGCTCTAGCTCTTTTGGTTCTTTTAAAAGAAGATTTTTTAAGTTTTTACTATATACATATAGGGAAAATCAATGACCCCCTGGGGCGGGGCAATTTTGACCCCAGGGCTTTTATTTGAACAAACTTGGTAGACAACCATTAGAACATGTTTCATGCTAAATATCTTAGCTCTAGCTCCATGAGTTCTTTAAAAGAAGATTTTTAAATTTTTACTATATGCATACAGGGAAAATCAATGACCCCCTGGGGCGAGGCCAATTTTGACCCCAGGGCTTTTATTTGAACAAACTTGGTAGACACTCATTAGAAGATGTTTCATGCTAAATATCTTAGCTCTAGCTCTTTGAGTTCTTTAAAAAAAGATTTTTTAAGTTTTTACTATATGCATATAGGGAAAATCAATGACACCCTGGGGCGGGGCCAATTTTGACCCAGGGCTTTTATTTGAACAATCTTGGTAGACACTCACTAGAAGATGTTTCATGCCAAATATCTAAGCTCTAGCTCTTCGGGTTCTTTAAAAGGAGATTTTTTAAGTTTTTACTATATGCATATAGGGAAAATCAATGACCCCCTGGGGCGGGGCCAATTTTGACCCCAGGGCTTTTATTTGAACAAACTTGGTAGACACCCATTAGAACATGTTTCATGCTAAATATCTTAGCTCTAGCTCTTTGAGCTCTTTAAAAGAAGATTTTTTAAGTTTTTACTATATACATATAGGGAAAATCAATGACACCCTGGGGCGGGGCCAATTTTGACCCCAGGGCTTTTATTTGAGCAATCTTGGTAGACACTCACTAGAAGATGTTTCATGCCAAATATCTAAGCTCTAGCTCTTTCGGTTTCTTTAAAGAAGATATTTAAAGTTTTTTCTTTTGGTTGCCATGGCAACCAGAGTTCTGCATGGAATTAAATTCTTTGAACAATTTTTAAAGGTGACCACCAAAGGAAAATTCCTGTGAAGTTTGGATGAAATTGGCTTAGTGGTTCATGAGGAGATGTCATTTAAAGTAAAAGTTTACGGACGGACGGACGGCCGGACGACGGACGGACGCCGGACGAAAAGCGATCACAAAAGCTCACCCTGTCACTTTGTGACAGATGAGCTAAAAAATGTTTTATAAATTCCTTGAGGCACACACACATTCTTTCATTCATTAATAGAAAAAATATAAAATTATCAAATGATTGCACTTTGTATTAACAGTTTTGATTTTTTTGTTTTATTTTTTTTTTATTATTTTATAATTATTTTCCCCTTCTTTTTGATTCACTCTTCTCATAGTGTCTCTATGTCTTTACTTGATATGGTATGGTCCATGTTTGTCTTTGATGATCATAATCTTGTCAATTACTGTACCGTTCTGTAATTAGTGAAATATACAAGTTATCATGTATCAGTATATAACTATTCAGGCAGTAATACTGTCTAGTATAAAATAAACACACTATCATGTCAACATTGTGATCAGAAACAACAAGAACCAGTTGAACTGGGTGATGCTACCCGAATAGATTTTGAACATAGAAAAGTATACCTCTTGTAGTTTCAGAGTTATGTCCCGGATAAAGTTCAAAGTGCAAAAATTCCAAACTTAAGCAAGGCAGAGTTACTGTTCTTTGCACTGCTCATCTACCCAATGATATCTATCTACCTACAAAGTTTCATGTTCATATCTCTTACAGTGTCAGAGTTATGTCCCGGACACAAAATTCAAAGTGTAACAAGATTGCATTTGGAAAAAATGCTATGCCACCGCATGGTTCAAATTTCATAGCTGTACATCAAAGGACAAGAAAGTAGGTCACATCATCAAAATCTAGGTCAAAGTTCAATTTTACAACTAAAACTGTGCACATGGTCAAAATGTCATTGCTGTACATCAAATGACAAGAAAGTAGGTCACTGTCTCCTTGGATAAGGCATAATTTTGACCCAAGGGTTTAATAACAATCTTGATACAGGTCCATCAAACAACATTTCAAGTCAAATATCTAAGCTATAGCTTTCTCCCATTCAGAAAACATTTGTTTTATTTTCTGTTTTTAATACGTGTACATAATGAAATTCACTGCCCCCGGGCAGGGCCAATTTTTGACATTTGAACAACTTTGGTAGAGGACCTATAGATGATATTATATATCAAACATAAAAGCGCTATGCCTTGAACCTTCAGACATAAATATACTTTTTTTTAAACTATATGTACATAATGAAAATCAATGACCCCCGGGGCGGAACCAATTTTGACCCCAGGGCTATAATTTGAACAATATATATCTTGCTAGAGGTTCGCTACACAATGTTTCATGCAAAATATCTTAACTCTATCCTTTGTAAATTTAGAGAAGATGATTTTTTAAGTTTTAACTATATACATATAAGATAAACCTATGGCTCCCAGGAGCGGGGCTTATTTTGACACAAGAAGCAAAATTTGAACAACTTTGGTAGAGTACCTTCCGATGATATTATTTAACAAATATTAAAGCTCTAAGCCTTGTACCTTCAGACAATAAGATTTTTTTATTTTTTACTATATGTATATATTGAAATCAATGACCCCCCCCCCAGGGCGGGGGCAATTTTGACCCCAGGGCTATAATTTGAACAATCTTGCTAGAGGTTTACAACACAATGTTTCATGCAAAATATCTAACCTCTAGCATTTGTCAATTGCTAGAAGAATTTTTTTAAGTTTTTACTATAAACATATAAGGAAAACCAATGACCCCTGGGGCGGGGCCTATTGTGACCCCAGGGCTAAATTTGAACAATATGGGTAGAGGTCTACCAGACAATGCCTTATGCAAAATATCTAAGCTCTAGGCCTTTTGGGTCTTTACAAGAAGGTGTTTTAAGTTTTTACTATATGTACATATAGCGAAAATCAATGACCCCGGGGCGGGGCCGATTTTGACCCAAGGGCTATAATTTGAACAATCTTGGTAAGGGTCTACCAGATGATGCCTTATGCAAAATATCTAAGCTCTAGGCCTTTTGGGTCTTTACAAGAAGATTTTTTAAATTTATTCTTATAATTCCTTTTGGTTGCCATGGCAACCAGATTTCTGCATGGAATGAAATTCTTTGAACAAATTTGGAAGCCCTTCACCCAAGGAACAATCCTGTCAAGTTTGGTTGAAATTGGAGTAGTAGTTTTTCACAAGAAGATTTTTCAAGTTCACTATATAATCTATATAACACACACACACACACAAACACACAAACGCACAAACACACACACAGGTGAATCGCTATATGCCACCGCATCGCAGATTGCGGTGGCATAAAAATGAGCAAAGAGCAATAACTCCAAAATTAGGCAAGGAAGAGTTATGGTTCTTGTGCACTGCACATCTACCCAATGAGATCTACCTACCTACAAAGTTTCATGTTGATACCTCGTGTTGTTACAGTGTTCTGTACCGGACAACAAAAGCGGATGGACAGACGGACAACCAGACGAACAGACAGACTTCCAAATAGGGAATGAATTCTATTGTTCTTTTTTGTTCTGTTTACAGTTAGATGGCCCACTATCCCTAATCAGTAGTGCAGACAGACAGACGGACAAAGCGGCAACTATATGCTCACCCTTAGAGGAGCATAAAAAGTAGTCCCAGAATTGACCTCATAGTGACAATAGTCATACTGATTAGCATACAGAGATTACAGACTACAATTTTTAAAATGAGCCATTAACACAATAACTAATGCTATATTTAGTCTGGTATTGCAGTAGGTCTACATGTTTCGCAAGCAGGCATTGAGTATGCTCAGTGATATAGATAACAAAATAATACAGCTTTAGACCCAATGTTTTTCCTATAGAAAATAAAGATAAATCTATCTGATATATGATACCTTATCATCAGAGACCTGCTCCAGATAGAGATGTGTACTGTTGAATATCTTCATCCTAGTATAACCATAGTCATCACTACGGAATGCAGACCACGGGGAGGGTC